AATTTTTCCAATTTTTTTTATCTCAAAAATTGCGACTTTGACTGATTTTGATGTTATTACAAATTTTGTTGCAAATATTATTCCTAATCTTAAATTGAAAACCGCGTTTCGCTAGCTACTGTAATTTTGGAGTTACGATTTTTTAAAAATTTTAACTCCCTTCCATACCCCCTTACCAACCCCCCACCCCCACCAAAAACTAATAGCCAGATTCTCGGATGGCACATTTTTGTGCCAAATTTGGTTAAAATCGGTTTAGCGGTTTTTGAGTTATCGTGTTACATGTTAGTTTGTCAAAATGAAGCATTTTTCAGCTATTTGCCTGAAACTAAAATTTTACAGCCTTAAAGTATTGCCTTTTTTCAAGTTTTTAACGTCCTAAAATCCGAGCTTTAATCATCACCATTACAAATGATTAATTCGACGCGAACGAAGTCGCGGGTACACGCTAGACTTAATGTATATTAGTTCACTGAAAAAAAGGATCTCAGTCGAAATGAATATGACTTTGACCCAAAAGATTGGCGCTTTTCAATAGGGCCAAGAACGACGTTTCTTTGCCCAAAGCGTTAACTATCTTTTCTTTAAGTGTCTTTTCATAACCTTTAAAAAATTACTTTAGAGAATAGAAGAATCTATCTGTCCAAAGTATTTCACTCTTGACCCAAAATGAATATGAAAAGAAGTTCTTGATACAAGAACAATAGTCTCTTTGATTCATGCAAAAATTCTTGATTGAAAAGAGACATTTCTTGATTAAAGAGACACTTTTCTTAAACCAATAGCGAATACTATTGACTCAACTAAAATTTATTTTGATCTAAGAGAAGTCTCATATCATATACAGGCATATTACGAGGTATTTTATTTTCTGATAACTTTAGGTTTTCCTGGTCTGTAGTAAGTAAAGTGATATTATTTTCCTCGATAGTAGTTATTTCTGCTTCTTCACTACTTGGTATATTTTGGGGTGGTTCATCACTCTACAAATTACTAAAAAATGATTACATCACGATTAATAAAAGTAAAGCAAATAAATTATTAAAATTATAAGCTTTGGTCACATTTTGAATTTTTATACGACGACTTGAAATTCTAAAATTTTTGTAATTATTTGCATAAAAAAATCGATACCTATATTCTTATTCTATCTATAGTCATGTATGCATTATCTAAACAGGTGCATTAGGTAAATGTTTTTTACCTTCAAATATAGCAAATAAATGCCCTAATTTCCATTTTTTCACAAACCCCTTTAAAGAATCCATATATCCTAAAATTTGTCCATAAAAAATGGCAAATGCATGTTAGTAACGATCACTAATTTGTTATACGATATGCGTTTGAAAAGCAAATTATGCAAAATTTCAGGTGGAAAATTCCAAGCAACAAAACCCGTGCGTACTATGATGTGCGACCTATGAAATGCGACGTACGACTGATCGGACTGCCGACTGATTGTATATACCGTCCTTCGTCATCGTCTTTGCGTGTCGTTATTATTTTTCATCAAAAGAGTATTTACCTATTGGAAAAATGACTATGTTTCTTGAATGAAGTACTTCCTAGCGTATTTTTCTTATTATCTTAAAACAAAGTAACTTGCACTTGGTTGAATGAAAATAGATTCAAGAGAAATTTTCGAATTTTTCAAGAGAACCAGTTTTCTTGAGTTAAGAGAGTTTTTCTTCAGGCAAAATATTTTCTTTCACGCTAAAATAAATTTTCTTGCCACTAATTTTTTTTTTCAAAACCGATGACGACTTTAGTTCAAGTCTATCTTTTTTATCAGTGTTTAAATAAAAAATCTCAAATTTTCGAAACAAAAATACGTAAAACTGTCATCGACATAGTGCCATAACCACTAAAAAGCCTCGTAAAAGCATCGCGCCATCTGTCGGGCTCGTTACCGCACACAGACGTGACATTTCTGCCCTTTTTAAAACGTCATCGCGATGATTTACGGGGTCTATGTTTTGTTTTTCGTTCATTTTCCTAAATCGTAAATCGGAAAACGGTTAACATAAGGAGAGAGGTATAAATTTTGCATGGACCATCAGGAAATTTTCCAGAAAAGCGTGACATTTTAACGAGAAAATTCCAAATAGCCTGCGGTGATTGGCTGTAAATGAGACGCGGAAAACGACAGAACACGGAGTGAGACCATAAATAGAATAGTAAAATTTTTGAGGCTTAAAATAAAGCAAGATTTTGGAAAATGGGTGTCTCATTCTTTCTGTTATTCATTAATAGACAATTTAAGCCACATCGTCATATCAATTCAAATGTTTTATTAAAATGCTCTAAATATAGAAGAAAAAAAACGAGGCTCGGAACCTGGGGGACCCGTTTAACTAGTACTTGTGGACAATTTCGTCAAATAAACTGCCGGACATAATTATCGGGACAAGCAAAATTTTAGTGTAAATTTAAAGTTGAATATCTCTTGAACTAAAAACGATTTTGGGATGCGGTTTGGACCAGGTTTTAGATGCATCTATTGTGATTAAGATGCTATGTGGTTTTCGAAAATATATTTAGCGAATTCTCGTATACAGGGTGTTTTATAAGAGAGTGAAAATTTGGTCAAGAATCTTTTTTACCGCAAATTTACGAGTTTTAAAAAATCGAAATTTTTACCAAGTACGATTAATCTGTATTGAAATTAGAAAAAACAATTTGATCGGTTTTTTAATTTTTTTTGTTTTAAGAAAAATTGATTTTTTTTCGAAAAATATGCATTTTTAGTCATACGTATGGTCCTAAGTGGTACAAAAAGCTTTGTACATTCTGCATATGCCAAAAAATTATTGATATAGAGTGTATCTAAAAGCAGATAACTAACACAAGTTAAAGAAAAACTTCAACATCAGAATATTTTTTTTATAAAATAAGTAGATAAATTATAATAAAATTTAAGTTTATTTAATATTAAATATATTTTTTGAACACCCTGTATAAATCGGTCCATTTCTGTACAGCTAGTTTAAGATACACGCTATATCAATATATTGTGGGCCTATGCAAATTGTACAATGCCTTTTGTACCATTTAGGACAAAATGTATGACTATTGTTTACAGTCCCGCAATTTTGCGGATCCGCGGGATTGATTGCTTTAATCCCGCGGGTTTGCGGGATTGAGATTTTGGTGCGGGATTGCATTCCCTACTCGTGATACTATTTCTTCCAAAATATTTCTTTTATCAATTTGAAAAACGCCTTCCAATTAATAACCCGCTCGACCCTATACGTCCCTTCTTTCCTTATCTGTCAAATTAATTCGGGCCGTTTTTTCCAAGGTACTACCTTAAAGGTAGTACCTTCCTTTGGTCCGCGCGTTATCTCGATGGAGGTACCGAAATATACGGTAGCCGTCTAATTATCGGTCTCGACCGTGCCGGTTCTTCGACCGACGACCAGAAAACAATGGTACTGATTGATCTTCGCCCATTAACATAACGAACGACACCGGAGAAGTGGTACGGCGATGATGGACGCGGTTCGAATGGTACCGATCGCCAGGAATGATAATGATCGGGACCCCAGGTTTGGTGGTCCTCGGTTTTGACGATTTTTTCCGTATGTTTTTTGTTGGTTTTGAAAAAAAAAGGATTTTGTACTGTTTTAGTACCGTATGATCGAAAAAAAGCGTTTAGTTGGTAAAGAAATGATAATCGCTGACATCTATATATACTAATATATAAAATCCTTAAGTGACTGACTCACTGATTAATCACGATCCTGCTCAAACCACTCAACGTAAGAAGCTCAATTTTGGCATACAGGTTGATTCTAGGGTGTGGACGTTCGATAACAAGGGATTTTTCGAAATTCCAGTTCCAAGGGGGTGAAACCACCCCTCAAATATTACAATATGTTTTATTTAAAAAACGGTCAAGTTTCCGAAAAAAACGCTTAAACACGTATATTTTATTTTGTTTTTTACATATTTTAAGATTTTTTAAAAATGTATACAGGGTGTTTCGAAAAATATGGTCATTGCTTAATTGGCGTAAAAAGCTGATTTTTGGAAAACGGATTGACTTTAGGGTGGATTGACATTTTTCGAAACTCGAATTCTAAGGGGGTGAAACCACCCCTCAAATATTACAATATTTTCTATTTACAAACCGGTGAGTTTTTCGGAAAAACTCTTAAACACGCATATTTTATTTTATTGTTTTACACATTTTAAGATTTTTTAAAAATTTATACAGGGTGTTTATAAAATATGACGATTGATTAATCACGATTCTGCTTAAACTGCTTGACGTTTAAAGCTGATTTTTGGCAAACGGATTGACTGTAGGGTGTAGAGGTTGGATAAGGAGGGTTTTCTCGAATCTCAAATTCCAAGAGGGTGAAAACGCCCCTCAAATATTACAATATTTATTATTTAAAAGACGGTTAGTCTTTCGGGAAAACGCTTGGACACGCATAATTTATTTTGTTTCTTTACATATTTTGAATTTTTTTAAAAAATTATACAGGGTGTTCCAAAAAGTTGGGTATTTGATTAACCACGATTCTGCTTAAACTGCTTGACGTAAAAAGCTTATTTTTGGCAAACGGAAAGTCAAATTCCAACGAGATGAAACTACCCCTCAAATATTACCAAGTTATATAATAATATCGCCATATTGTTTTTTCTCATGCTGACATAAATGTGAGAAAATTTTATCCAGCTTGTATGTTAATGAAAATTCTTACTTTGCTTTATCATCACCATTACAAATGATTAATTCGACGCGAACGAACTCGCGTGTACAGGCTAATTTTCTATATAAAATTACAGCGATCTTTATTTCAAAACTATCGATGACACTGTTTATTTTTCAATCATATCAGTAAGGCAAAAAAACTGTCGTTCTCCTTGGACAAATGTGTCATATGTTTACAAAAATCAAACTACAATGTTGTAGTTTTTTCTTTTCATATGTTTTTTTTTCAGTGTATAACCGAAACAAATTATAAAATACATTTTTTTCTTTGTTACAGGTCCAAGATCAAGAAGAATCAAAAAGCCAGCAACTCAAACCAAATCAACGGAAGATAAGCGACCCAGAACGGCTTTTTCTAGTGCCCAGCTAGCTCGTCTCAAGCAAGAGTTCAACGAAAACCGGTATTTGACAGAAACCAGACGTCAAAAACTGAGTTCAGAGCTTGGACTAAACGAGGCCCAAATCAAAATTTGGTTCCAGAACAAAAGGGCCAAAATCAAGAAATCCTCTGGCCAAAAGAACCCTTTGGCACTTCAACTAATGGCACAAGGGTTGTACAATCACAGTACGGTGGCTTGTGATGAAGATGACATGCCATTGGGTAGTTAATGACAGTTTTAGAGACTTCTATTTGTATATTTTTCTGAAATCAAATATAGCACATGTTTATATTTTAAAAGTAAAATAACAGACATAATATGTAGCAGAATTACCCTGTAGTAGACATACCTACAGCCTACAGTATACAGATGCATTCAATCTAAACAGTCTTTATAAATATGTGCTACAGATTAAAAATATCAACCATGGTTTGTCCAGAGATCCAAGAGATAAATATAAATAAGTAAATATAATTGTCCAAGAGATAAATAAATCTGGACAAACCATGTAAAATTCTCTTTTTGTGATCTCATGTTATTATTTATTATCATTAATTCATAAAATTTATTTTTAAAATTTTTGTACAAATGTATATAATGTATTTTTAGTAAATATGGGCATCATATCATTAAACGTATCCTGTAAATTTTAAAACCCTTTGTATATATTTATTATAATAATAGTATGAATGTATATCGAAAAATTTTTAGGTATTCCTGAGCTTTTTTTAGTAAAAAAAACTTGAGGATATAGGTAGACTATAATTTGTTTCATACCGCAGAATTAAATAAAAAAGAATGTCACAGTAGGTGAAGAAAATTATGGTCTATTCAAAAAAAACATTAAAATATATAAATGCATCCAAAAATACTGTTTTTTTTTGTTCGATATAAAATTTAAGTAAATTTACCACAGATACCTATAGTAAACCTCCAATAGAAATGTTATTTAAACTCCTACTATGACATTGTTTTTATTAAATCACACGGTATAATCTCAGCTTTATTAAGAGGATAGTTATATAGGATTAAGAATTTTTTTATTAAGTAGGGATATATAGATATAAAAAAATTCTTTGCTGTGTAAAAATTTAGACTGATTTAGTACAGAAACATATAGAATGGAAGAAAATTTCAAATTGTGCAATGGTTTTTATGTTTTTGTTGTACGTATATGATAAATAGGTACTATGTAGTTGTTATTGTATATAGAATGCATTGATTAAACAATAAACATGTTTATTATATTAAAAAGAATATTTTTATTTATCCTTAAACCTACTATACCATAAACTTTTGCAATGAAATCACCCTGTATATAATAATACGGGGTGTCCCAGAAATAAGTGCAAGTATACTTTCTCTTTATCGTTTATCAAATAAGTCCAAAATCACGGAGTTTTTTCACTTTGAAAATTTCCAAAAAAAAATGATTTTTTGCTAAAATTTTGAAAACCACTGGATCTTTTCTGGATTTTCTATCTTGTAAATTTAATCTAATACCAATGTTGCCATATTATCAAGAAATTATGTTTTTTAACTAAAAACTAAAAAAAATTCCAAAAAATTTTTGAAAAATTTTTTTTTGCGAAAAGACCTCATAGGCGTATTTCTGGGGTTGAACTATACTACCAGTTAAAATATTTGCACTTATTTCTGAGACACCCTGTATATGAGTCTTGTTTGTTATATTTATCACTAAAGATGCGTAAAAAAAATTGTCGAAAAAGAAAAATTTTAAAATTTTCTCGCTTTTTCTAATTTCTTCATTTATTTAAAGTTACTATACAGGGTGTTCCCGAAATAAGTGCAGATATTTCAACTGGTATTCTATCTTAGAAACACGCCTATGAGGTTTTTTTGCGAGTAACAACTCCTGTGAAACCGTCTCAGATACTGGCTTTTCTCAAAACCCTGAGTCCTGATCACTTATAAATTGATAATTCACAATAGTTGAACGTCGATGGTAAACATCGATATTCTCCTATTAAATTATCGATATTTTAGAAACATCGATGTATCATTTACATCCCTAGTCTTAACTAGATAACAAATTATTACTCTAAACCATCGGTCATCCCTCTACAACCCTTTTAGCATCATCGCCAGTGACAATTATTCCAATTAGAATAATTTTAGGGAGGTATTCATTCTCCTTGACAGCCATTTTCCCATTAAAAGGGTGATTAAGGTCGAGTTTTCGTTATGTATCATGAAGGTAGTTTGTTTTGGCCGCCCTTTACACAAATGGAGCGGTTGTGGACATTGTGGTCAGTCATTTTGGGTCCTAATGGACCTTTAAAGTCGTTCGACTGTCCTCGAATGAAGCTAGTTTCTGGAATATTGTACTCGTCTATCATAAAGGTAGGTTTTGGGAATGTATGTACAAGAATTATTGTTGTTCATATACCGTGTAGAAAACAGAAAGGAAGGATATTTATTCTAAAAATTAGTAAAAAATATGTATAAAATGGTTCTATAATAATGGTTCTAAAATATATGATTTCCTTAACATTTTCTTCATTGAGTCATGGTTCGTCTAGGTAGCCACCAACAATTTGCAATTTTTTCAATTATCATTACTTTTTGATGTTATTTTTCAATATGACGAGGTGGTTTTGGTGATTATTGTGAACCATATACTACTATGAACTGCCCATCATATTCGACGTTTGGTAAATGCTTGGCAGGAGGGTTAAACGTCGCGAAGCAGTACCAGCTGCATTAAATGAACTTCGCTTGGTTCTTAAAAAGAATGGGAAAGCATAACGCAATATGATATTAATATTATTAACGGACATAATATACAGGCAGTTGTAGCAACCAAGGGAGACAATACAAAGTACAAGGGTATTTTTACAATTTTTTCTTCCGTTTGTATACTTGAGTAATACAGATGTTTTCTTTAATATCGTTAGTTCTGTTTTCGTTATGAATGTTTATGAAATCCAGGACTGTATCGTTAGTCTTTAATGTTTTTTTTTAATTTAGTGTAGAGTATCCAATGTAGCGTTAGAAGAGAATAAAAGTATGAAGGTGTTGCAGGGAAAACTATCAAATGGAAAGAGAGAGATCTTTTAAACTAAAAAGACAATCAAGGGGTCGTAACAACAAATAGAGAAAGGCTGTTGAAAGTAACAGAAAACTTTTACACTAAACTATACACAAGTAATCACCAACAAACATACAACAGTCAATAACGTCTGTGAAAAGATAGTTAACCAGGGATCAGAGGATATACCGGAAATAACTACAGAAGAGATCAGAAACTCCTTAAAAGAAATGAAAAATAACAAAGCCCCGGGCGAGGACGGCATAGTGATTGAGGCTGTGAAACTCGGAGGAGGAACACTATTAAAATGGATTAAAGACTTATTTAATTTATGCCTTGAAAAAGAAATAATCCCGTCTCAATGGAACAACGCCATAACGATACTTCTCCATAAAAAGGGCGATATCATCGAGCTTGAAAATTATAGACCGATAAGCCTTCTTTGTCACTTGTATAAGCTGTTTACCAAAATCATTGCCAAACGTCTCGAACGTAAACTAGATTTCTATCAACCAAGAGAACAGGCAGGCTTTAGGAAAGGTTATGGAACAAACGATCATCTTCAAGTAATTAAATTCTTGATAGAAAAATCTGTGGAATACAACAGGCCTCTAGCATTGGTGTTCGTTGATTTCCAGAAAGCATTTGACACAGTAGAATTAACAACAATAATAGCAGCATTGGAGCAGGCTTATAGAATACATATATAGTAATGCCACCACAACTGTAAAACTTCACGAAACAACAGATAAAATTGAGGTAGGCAGAGGAGTTCGACAAGGGGATACTATTTCGCCTAAACTTTTGTCCTTGAATACGCCTTGAAAACAGCTGTCTTTGAATACGCAATGAAATCACTCTCTTGGGAGAATAGGGGCATAAATATCGATGGTGAAAGGTTGACACATCTCAGATTCGCAGATGACATCGTCCTTGTCTCAGATAACATCGGAGATTCAAAGCAGATGCTCGAAGAATTAGTGCAGGCCTCATTAAAAGTCGGTCTCGGATAAATACGAGTAAAACGCAAATAATGACAAACTTAGTGCTGACACAGAACATCAGAATAGGTGACGCCGACATAAAAGAAACACATATATACAAATATCTCGGACACGAAATACAAAAATCGGAAAGAACAACCAAACACACGAGATACAGCGCAGAATAGGTTTGGGTTGGGCTGCTTTTGGCAAACTGCGGGAGACCTTTAAAAGTGACATACCCATATGCTTGAAGAGGAAAGTTTATGAACAATGCGTCTTGCCGGTAATTACATATGGAGCGGAAACTCTAACATTAACGAAAAAGTCAGCAGAAAATTTAAGAGTAGCCCAGAGAGCCATGGAGAGAGTCATGCTTGGAATAACTAAAAGAGACAAAATTCCTAATAACACTATCAGACAAGAAACCAAAATTAAAGACATAGTGGAACACGTAACTCGAATGAAATGGAGATGGGCAGGTCATGTGGCGAGAACATCTAAAGACAGGTGGACTAGAAGATTGTTAGAATAGCGACCTCTAGCAGATAAACGTAGCAGAGGCAGACCACCGACACGCTGGACCGATGATATAAAAAGGATTGCTGGAAATTGGACGATGACGGCCCAAAATCGAGAGACATGGAGAAATATGGAGGAGGCCTACGTTCAGCAGTGGACAACGATGGCTACATGATGATGATGATGATGATCCAATGTAGCATAATGTGACGTTACCAAAGTGGTTACCAAAACCATCTCGTCATTAAAAAATTACATCAAAAAGTAATGATAATTGAAAAAATTGCAAATTGATCGTGATCAGTTCATTTCGCTCTTAAAAATTAACCAAAGCATGTATTGGCATGAATCAAAAAGCAAAATGATCATCAGGAGTCATGGTTCTGACCGTAATATTATATTTTAGGAAAATTCACACATGCAATTATTGCACAGGGTGTTTTAAAATTAAGGTAAAAAAAAACAACTTGTCGATTAACCCTGTATAATATTGCCAAATACTAAAGTCTATAAAAACTTTGTTTACGAATTAAAGTTGATATAATTATACAGGGTGTCCCAGAAATGAGTGCAGATACTTTAAGGGGTGGTAGATCTGGTCAAAATAAACATATTTTCTCTTTACCATTTTTAAATTAAATTGAAAATAACCGAGTTATTTAACTTTGAAAATTTAAAAAAATAATCGCAACATTTTGAGAACCGTCGGCAGATATCGCCAACTACATCCAATTACCCGGATCAAGCCCGGATTTCAGTTAATTCGACGCACTGTGTTGCCATAGGGACAAGAAAGTATATGTTAAAAGTAAGTCATAAAACCACAACACACCTGAGGAGTTTGCAGAGATGCATTACATTTTTAAGATTGTGATATTGTTACATAAAATAAATTAAAAGTTAAATGTTTAATAATGTGTTAAAAAAGTTAAATTAAAAAACTTACCCAACATTAAAAAAGATACTTATGACAGATTGATGTAACTGTGACAGTTCTCTTTTTCGATATACACTTAACTAAAATACACTTCACTGTGCTGCTTTACTTGTACATGCTATTATAATAACTACTAAAATAACAGTCCCCATTTTTAACACATTGTTTTCATATAGGCCTCATCACAATTTGAACCACTGATTTACAAAACACCTTGAAAAGCACACATTACTTTAAATACCTTTCTGAATGAATAAATGTTGAGAATTGTTGTCTCTTACCGCCACTTTCCGAACTACTTTCAATCTAAGAAAATACATGTTTCACTCAACAATTTTAAATACGTATTTTGTTTTTTCGCTATTTTTTCTATGTATTTCAACAATTCCATCTACAGCGCAACCGTCGCGTCAGCCGTCGGCCAAGAGAGCGGCGCATCACTGGTAACTGCTCCTTTGTCGCGCCGCGCCGCCGCGCCGTGTCGAGCTTGCGCCATGCCAGGTTGCCGTAGTTTCAACAATTTCAAATTCAAGACACTCGAAGCAATCAAATTCTTATTAAATTTTAAAAATAAAACAGAAAAACATGAAAGAAAACAAACAAAACACAAATGAATTGGTTATTGATAAGGTCACAAAAAAGAAATTTCTAAAATGTTTATCGTAATTCAGAATTCAATACATCGAAAACAGCCCGACGAATAAT